AGAGGATATATCAAGCAATCGAAAAGTCTGCATTAGACCATCCATTAAACTTATGGTTAGATACTTTACTGGGATTAGGAGGTTGTGACATTTACAAGAGCCATTTTAAATTAAGTGTGTGATCACAGTGGAATATTTACTATTGTCAACTGGTCCCAATCTTAGAATGAGTTAGGAATAGTTGCTAAAATAAGTTAAAAATAATTGTAATAATTGTAAAACATTTATTACAAATAAGGCTGTAAATTTGAGGGTCGCCCACCCCCAGGAGCAAAGAGATGTTAACCACAAGCCTGGAGATCGTAAAGACGTGATAGTCGAATAGTCTGTCAACTAAATAATGAAATGACCATTAATTAAGGTTTTTAGTTGAGATGAAAAAAAGTTAATGGCACGAGAGGGATTCGAACCCACGACCTTCGGTTAGATACGCCGCTGCTCTACCACCTGAGCTATCGTGACCTCGATCCACTCGGACATCAAATCCCCATCTCAACCCCACCTTATGAGTTTTCCCTCCTTTTGCCATTTTTCAAATGTCATGTAATCAATCGGTTTGGATTCTCGACTAATCCCTCTCGTGCCATTAACTTTTTTTCATCTCAACTAAAAACCTTAATTAATTGTCATGTATTAATTGGTCAAGCGGACCACGAAAGTAGGGAATAAATAATGAAAGTTGAAGAGTTATTTAGTGCTGGAAGGTTGTCATAAACACAGTTTAACCAGTGGTGGGAGCACCATAAATAGGTTGCATAGTGTACACATGTTTGTATGTTGGTTTATACATGTGTGGATTTGGGCCTATATAAATCCAAATCCAAAAATCCTTTTGGTATCCTAAAGATATTTTTGTTCTGAAGCAATGTTTCTTCACGGAAGAATTAAAATTTTTTTAAAGAACAACTAAAAGTAAAGAATAAAGTGTATAAATATAACATAAAAGTAAATTTAAAACATCTGTAAATTTGTTTATTATAATAATTTGCCAATTGTTTAATGGGCAGTGAAATCCAGTTCAAAAGATCAGGAAGTGGGCTGTAATATGAATATTTTTAGACAATTAAATATTGGTGGTTCAGCCACATAATAAATTATTTGATTTGTTGTAGGTATTATTTTTTTGCACAATGTCAATAGATGATTTTGCGATTTAGGGGTCTTTGTGAATCTACATTTCAGCATGTGTAAGACCTACGGGTGCTGATCCAAACATATCTGGTTTGTAAAAAAAATGTTTTTGATATCATTTTACTACTACTGTTCTAAATGGTATACATCGTGTGTTAGGAGCTGAAAAGTCTATTAAAAAATGTGTTTTTTTATATTTACAATGGGTCGCCCTTGAACCCGCAAGACTTCTGAGTGTTGCAGAAATGTTGGTCTGGTGCGCCGTTAAGGCAGACCATGCAATTACAGATTAGAAGCATTAATCAATCAACTAGCTGATAAATTTATTGTTTATAAGTAACATTGTTTTTTGTTTTCTTTTTTGTTCATATTATAATCAATTAAAAAGCAATGTGCTGAGGCAAGGTTCAAACCCAGATCTGCTTAGAAATCAGATCAGAAATTCATTTAATAATAATTGTTTAATTATGATGGTTAAAAATAAATTTCATGAAAACATCAGAAAATCATTTAGTGATAGATTAAAATTTTAACTAATGATTTACACGATGGACAAATTTAATGCACCACTCAATTAATGTAGTTTAAAATTAAATCCATTATCTTTCTACACTAGGTACAGGTCAACTGTATTTGAAGCTATCATGGTAAAAATAATGCTTTGTTTTCTTTCTTTCTGCTTTCTTGTACTGTTTAATCCAATTTGAACAAGAAGTAGCATTATGGCCTTCCATTATACTATGCTTAAAGATCACTTTCAGTTGATATTCGTTGATTTAATTTGATATTATTCTTATTTTTATACCTTTTTCAATGGCTCCAGTGAACATTAGAGTAAGAATGACAGTGTCATTATTAGAGGAAGGATACAGCCAGTGCAAAGTTGCCAGGAGACTGGGTTTAAATCTCTTTAAGGGTCCTTCAACCCCTCAGAGAAACAGGACCTCACACTAGATGGCCAGGAAAAGGTCAACCTCAGTTTACAGATGTGCAAGATGATAGATTCATCTGTCATCAGGGCCTACGAAACGGCAGCATTACAGGAAATGAGATAACAAATCTGATAAGACAGGTCTAAAATGTTTCAATTTCATTTCACCTCACAGCCCAGCACCCACTGGTGGGCTTCTTACCAGAGTTCAAAAAAAGATCGGTCAGGCTTCAATTGACATGGTAAGATTGGGGACGAGTTCTCTTTTTTCTTAGGATTTGAAACTGCATGGTTGGGTGCTGAATTGACCTAGCTGTTGACAGCATCCTCACCCCCAGAGCATAACCTAGGTGGCTGGACAGATTGCCAATACTTGGGGTGGGTGATTCTCAAGTCTTCCAGCAATTTACTGTAAATACCAAAAGCTGGAATTGCGGTGGTCTAAGAGAAGGGAATAGGCTCAAATCGACACATGTTTGCATGAACATGTGAGGATTTGAGCCTATATAAATCCAATTCCAAAACTCTTTTGGTATCCTAAAGATATTTTTGTTCTGAAGCTATGTTCCTTCATGGAAGAATTAAAATTTTTTTAAAGAACAACTAAAAGTAAAGAATAAAGTGTATAAATATAACATAAAAGTAAATTTAAAACATCTGTAAATTTGTTTATTATAATAATTTGCCAATTGGTTTAATGGACAGCAAATTCAGTTAAAAAAAGTCAGGAAATGGGCTATACATAGGAATATTTATATACTATTAAATATTGTTGGTTACAGCCACGACACACATTATTTAATATCATTTTACTACTACTGTTTTAAACGGCATACATCTTCTTGTTTTAGTAGCTGTGTTTTTTTAAATGTTTTTTTTTCATATTTTCAATGAGACGCCCTTGAACCCGCAAGACTTCTGAGTGTTGCAGAAATGTTGGTCTGGCGCGCCGTGAAGGCAGAACATTCAATTACAGATTAAAAGCAATAATCAATCAACTAGCTGATAAATTTGTTGTTTATAAGTAAAATAATTCATGTCATAGGAAAGCTTAAAGTCCAACTACCAGTTGGATGGTGCATACAAAGGGTCAAACCACTTTACAATACTTTTTTCATATTTTAATCTATTAAAAAGCAATGTGCTCAGCCAGGATTCGATCCCAGAACCGCTAACATTGCAAATATTGCACTAGACACCCTAACTCCTCGGCCATTGCGGTTCCCTAAATTTGTTGATTATACACATTTAGAAATCAGATCAGAAATTCATGAACTTTAATAAAAATTATGAGGGTTTGAAAGAAATATCACCAAAACACCAGAAAATTATTTAGTGATAGATTAAACTTTAAATAATGATTTACGTTGTTGGACCACTCAATTTAGATTGTTTAAAATTAAATCCATTTTCTTTCTACATTAGTTACAGGTAATTAGAAGCTATTATGGTCAAAATAAACATTAAATAATCCTTTGTTTTCTTCGTTTGTTTACTTTTGAACTGATTTGCACAAGTAGCGTCATGCCCTTCCATTCTATACTACTATGCTGAAAGATATTTGCTTCTCTTTCGTTGATTTCATTTGATATTATTCTTATTTATGAATGGTACAATTACGCAGAAAATAAACACTTTGAGCCCTGAAGATGATCTCAATAAAGATCGAAACGCTGAAACGATAAAGAAAATGTTTTTCTGAAACCTACGTCACACCAGACCGCATCTCACTATTTCCGAATAATTATTCTTATTCTTAAACCTTTTTCAATGGCTTCAGTAAATATTAGATTGAATATGATAGTGCCAAGGTCATAACATTATTAGATGAAGGATACAGCCAGTGCAAAGTTTCCAGGAGACTGGGTTTAAATCTCTTTAAGGGTCCTTCAGCGCTTCAGAGGAACAGGGCTTCACACTAGAAAGCCAGGACAGGGTCGACCTAGGTCTACAGGTGAGAGAGACGATAGATTCATCGGTCTTGTTACGACAGCTTATAAAATGGCCGGGCTTCAATTCACACAGGGACTTGCGGATTGGACATTGGAAGATTGAGGACAAGTTCTCTTTACAGATGAGGTGAGAGTTGGCCTCAAATTTTCAGACAGGTGTAATTTCATATCGAGACGCTTAGCAAAAAAGTATACCTATGTAGTATGGTTCTTCAGGTGGCATTCCATGGTGGGTCATTGATGTTCCGGGGTAGATTTCCTTGGACATCTGCACCGAATCGGTTGTTGTGCAAAGAACTAACTTCACAAAGGTACTTGCAAGACATAATCAAAAAAACATGCAGTGCCCATATCGGATTTTTTCTTATGCAGGGTAATGCCTGGCTCCGTACAGCACATATTGTGGATGTCTACTCGAATGAGGTTATTGAGTGCTTGGTGTGGCCAGCTCGAAGACCAGATTTGAGCCACATTTGGGACTAATTTAAGCGATGAGTACGAACCATAGAAGACGAACAAGAAGAAGAATACCATAGAAGATTTGGACAATTTTATCAGAAATCTTTTTCAAAGAAAGCAAAGGCATTTAACGGTCATGATTTGTGCCAGAGGAAGAAATACCTAAAATATGAAATTTTCTGTTTTTTGTTCTTTACTCAATAATTATTTTTAGAATTAGGTAATAAACTTTTTTTTTCAAATGCCTTATTTTTACAACCAAATCTATTTTTGGCATGCAAAATATGAATAACCCTAAATTAACATTAAAATTTAAGGGTGGTGCGTTAATTTTGTCCTTAATTGTTGTGAGCTCACACTCCTGCTGACAAGCAAAAATGAAGCTTAATGAGAGCAGGCTGTTCTTCATTATCATTTAATTTTTATTTAGAATAATGAATTCAACGTACTGCAAAATAAATTAATTTTTTAACGTTTTCTTTGTCTTGAAATATTCATTACACTTTTGAAACTAAAATCAATGGAAGGATTTACATTCGGGGGCGTTAAAGACGAAATTAATCGCCTGTTTTACTCGCAAATGAAGCAAAGTGACGAGTTTTGGACTGGCTCCAGAAAAAGCCGTCAACCGCCCATTCAAACGATATAATTTACGCTGGTTTGTAAAACAAACAACGTGCCATCGCGGGTATGAAGCAACCGAATGCCACTCCGTCGTCTTTTCGTCATCCGCCGTCAGCAAGCCCTGCCATCGTTCGACGGTGGGGAGAAGGAAACGCAGAACTTGCTCAATTCGGCTTTACTTGCTGACGAAGTGACGACCACAGGCTTTTGAGAGTAACCGGCACACAACGAAAAAAAAGGTATTTCCAATTTTGAACAAATATCGCTTATATATTTGCATTTCCAGGCTTCATATTGATCAAATATTACTTTAAACATGTTATTTTATATATTTTTTTAGAAATTACATTAAAGTTCCAAGTAATAATACATTCAAATTTATAATTTTATGCAAGTGATTCACTTTTTTACGTGAAAATGTGGTTTTCATTTTTTCTTTTCTTTCAAGACTCCTGAGTCTTCTCTCGGCATTGAGACCATTTCATGCAGAAATCATGTAAATCAAGAATTTTCCCCTAATAAAAATCCATAAAAAAAAACATTAACGAAAGAATCTAATAAACAGAAGGCTTACTGATCACTGATTTTTATATAAGTTTTTTGTTTGTGATGCTAGGTGGCAAAATAGAAGATATTTCCTACATTTTCTTGCTTCATTTTGGTCAAATCTTATTCCACACACGTTATTTTACATATTTTTTAAAAAATTACATTAAAGTTCCAAATGATAATACATTCAAATTAATAATTTTATGCAAGAGATTCACATTTTTACGTGAAAATGTGGTTTTCATTTTTTCTTTTCTTTCAAGACTCCTGAGTCTTCTCTCAGCGTAAGATTGAGACCATTTCATGCAGAAATCATGTAAATCAATAATTTTCCCCTAATTAAAATCCATAAATAAACTGATTAACGAAAGAATCTAAAAAACAAAAGGCTGAACTGATCACTGATTTTTATAAAAAAACATTTATGTGATGCTAGGTGGCAAAATGCAGATATATTTGTATTTCCTGCCTTCATTTTGATCAAATCTTATTCGACACACATTATTTTACATATTTTTTAAAAATTACATTAAAGTTCCAAATGATAATGCATTCAAATTGATGATTTTATGCAAGAGATTCAAATTTTTTACGTGAAAATTCGGTTTTCAATTTTTTTTAAGACTCCTGAGTCTTTACTCAGCGTTAGATTGAGACAATAAACAGATTAACGGAAGAATCTAATAAACAAAAGGCTGAACTGATCACTGATTTTTATTTTAAAAAAAATTTTTGTGATGCTAAATCGCTGATATTTTGTATTTCCTGGCTTTATTTTGATTAAATCTTACTTTACACACGTTCTTTTACTTATTTTTAAAATATCACGTTTAAGTTCCAAGTAATATCCGAAGGATCGGATTGAATGATATTAGATGTATAAAATATTTTAAAAAAGACGATTCTAGTAAAACAGGTCAAAAAAAATTTTTGTTAAAAAATAGATTCGAATTTGTTTTGAACACTCTTCAAAGCCCACCGATTTTTATAAAACTTTTTTTGATGATACTAGGCCGCAAAATATTTTTGAGAGTTCGAGTTTTCTTGCTAGTGGGCACTAGGAGCTATTTTTATTTTTTTTAAATAATGATTTATTTTTTGCTGTTAGACTTTTGCCCGCCAATCCAAGGTTTTTAGTTGAGATAAAAACCTTGATTAATTGTAATATATTAATTGGTCAAGAGGACCACGAATTTAATGAATTATAACAACCGTTGGAAAGTTTAATTTCTCTTCTTTCAGCATAAGCGAGAAAAATAACGACGAAAACAACATAAACTTCTCAAAGGTTTGTTGACCATGTCAGGTTCTGATTTGTTTAAGGTGGCCAAAATTATGCAATTACGTATACTTTATACGGTCCTAAAATCCTGTCAAGTTTCTAGCGGATAAGCTGAGTCGTTTCAAAGATATCAAAATTTTTGCGCTTTTCGAAAAAATCAGGAGGAAGGTAGGGTGAAAATCTGAGTTAAAAAAATTGTATTTTCCGGTTGTAGAAAACGAATATCAACTTTATTTCATGATATTTTTTTAACCTACTTTAAGTCCGTAGACGCTTGGTGAAAAAATATGTATTGCATTTCAACGGATACAAATTTGCCGGCACATTGATTATTACCGTGACGCTTGCAAAGTTGGTAAAATTTATAAACGTGGAAAATATTTTTTGACATATTACTAAAATAAAAAAATTAAAAACAGTCTTCGTCCCTAGCTTGCAACACAAAATATGACAGAATTAATTCGACGTGCCTTTTTTCAAAGAACTTATGGGGCGAAGGTGGCCGCAACGGTTTAGGCGTTGACACGGCGCTCATCGCTGTAAGGTAAAGGTCCCGGGTTCGAATTCAGAGGCCCTTCATTCGAACCCGACATACTTACAAATGGTTAGGGATGGTTAAAAAAAACTCAATCTGTTAAAACTTAATCAGGAGTCTGTTGTTTTCATTGTTTATATTATTAAATTGCGAAAGTTTTTTTTGTGTTAAATATGCATGAAAACACAGCAAAAATGAAACGACAATCCCGCAGGAATAGACAAACCATTAGACTATTCAATTAAGTGTGCTTTAATACATTTTTTTTAAAAATTAACCAATGTATATTAAAATAAAGAGCCAAAAACATGGAAATACTTAAAGCAAAAAGATTAGTGTATGGATTTTTTTTTTTTTGAGAAAAAATCCCCTCCCCCACAAAAAGCCCATCAATATGCATAGAAAGGGGCGTCGGTGGCCGCAAGGTTTAGTCATTGACACGGCGCTCATCTCTGTAAGGTAAAGGTCCCGGGTTCGAATCCAGCGGCCCTGCATTCGAACCCGACATACTTACAAATGGGATTTTTTCAAAAACACCGGCACCCTGAGGGTTTATATGACCTCTGCTGTTGCGAACCCTCGTAAAAAACAAATATTTAAAAAAAAAATGCATAGAAGTTAATTGTTTGCCAATAATTGTTGAATTTCTTATTTAACTGATTATTCTCAGATAATGTTATTTAATTGAACATATGTTTTATTTTTGCGTTTCCAAATTTGTTTATTCCAGGGAATATTTTTCTACGATATTTCCGCGATTAAATCTTGAACGTATTTCTTACTATAATTATAATTTAACCCAACTATCGTAAAAATTTCCTATAAAAGATACCGATAAAAAGATAAAAGATCGAATAACCTGGTCTTAATTTAAAATTTAATTAGAAAAAGAATTGGCCCAAATATTAAAAATTAAGCCAACTTTTAGGACTTACTTTGAAAAACGGTAGAAATTAATGTCCGAAAAGAGAAAAATATGTAAAACTTTTATTTAAAAAAATGAACGGTTACATACATAAAACAATTATTACGAGTTTAAATAAAGAAAATAATTTCTTAAAAGAATTTATGATTAGATAAATCATTAAAGGTTTAAAGGCTTAAATAGACTACAGAAAAATAACTTTCTCTACCTTGTTCTCTTCGGGCAATGCCCATCGAGGGGGGCTCAGCGTGAGCTGTTTCAGTCTTTTGAATGGATAACCAAACAGTGTTAACACAATTGCCATTAACCTTCTCTCAACTAATAATAGCATTGGAAAACTTTCATGAAAAAATTTCCCAGCCGGTTGTTTTATTTCAATCTAGGCTTGTTATAGATAAATCAAAAAAAGGTTTAATTTTTTTAATAGTTCTTGATAGATTAAAGATCCCTCTAGCAAGTATATGTTGCTAATAAGCCTATAAGTGTGGTTAAAACACACCAAAACATAAGAGTTTCCAAAATGGATTTTTTTCTTGTCAAATTTTCACTTTCCTTTTAATTGAGATTTAGTAATAGCGTTTGTCCTTGGAATTTAAATGCCTTTTTCGAGACATAATAAAAATCGGACTTTTGTAGAATATACACAAAGCAATTTCCGAATTAAAACGGAAGTAAAGTTAATAACATATGTTCAGAATCATTGTCCATTATGTAAAATCCAATTTTCGCGTCTTATAATATAGGTCAGTTTCTGACATTTCGATTCTGAGCACGATTTTTAAATCGCCTTTCAGACGCATTTCGGGTTTTCGCCGTCGTTGATCACAGTTGATTCACAATTATGCTCGCTGTTTTGGTCTTTCAGACGCATTTCGGGTTTTCGCCATCATTGATCACATATGATTCAAAAATTATGCTCGCTGTTTTGATCTTTTGGACACATTTCGTCACATTGATCACTTTTGATTCAAACGTATTCTTCCTGTTTTGGCCTGTCAGAGACGCATTTCGGGTTTTTGCCATCATTTATCACAGTTAAATCAAACTTATTCTCCCTGTTTTGGTCTTTCAGATACTTTTAGGCATTTCACCATCATAGATCACTGTTGATTCAGATTTGTTGATATTCTTGCTTTTTTAGCCTGTCAAACGCATTTTGGCTTACTCTAACATTGATCAAGTTGATTCAAACTATTTTGGCCTATCAGACGCTTTTTTTCTAGCATTGATCACAGTTGATTCAAATCTATCCTCCCTGTTTTGGTCTTTCAGACGCATTTTCGACTTTTTGCTATCATTGCTCACTGTTGAGTCAAATCTATTATTGCTGTTTTAGCCTGTCAGACGCATTTCGACTTTTCTTCATAAATAATCACTGTTGATTTGATCCTACCCTCGTTATTTTGGTCAGGATGGGCAGACCAAAGAGGTCGGAAACGAGCAATCTGCAGGATCATTACCTGCAGATCTCAAGAAGGAATCTCATAATTTTTTTTTTTTTTCGAACGCTTAATGATCCATTGAGAAGTACAATCCACAGAAGTTGAACCTTCAACTAAATCCAAATAATAAAAAATACTGTTTTTTCCCTTAAGAAACTGGCGTCTTTTTATCCAGCCAAAAATATTTTCTTATCATATTATCGTACATTCGTACTAGTAAATATTTTCAATCATGCAATAGAGAGGCCTATATGTCTTCTAAAAAATCGTAACTTCTTCCAGTATGGATCATACTGGAGAAAAGTAGAGCTGTCTTCTCTATGAAGCAAAGATTAACAGAAAAATGATGCAAAATTTTAAAATTGCTTTCTTTCGTTGTCTTTGTGTAATGTCGTGTGATGCAATTGTGACGCCTAAATATTTTAAGCAATTACTGAATTCTTGTTCTTTATTTAGCCTTAATACGTTACAAGAATCGAGTGCAATCCAAGATCAAATTTGCTTGGCCTCTTCTTGTTCTTTTTTTTTCTATTTTCATGGGAACACTTAAAAAGAGCATTGCAGTTTGGTAATTTTCGATAATTTTGATCTTAATGTTTTTGTCTATTTGGTCTTTCACTATCAACTTTGATATGTTAGTTATTTTTGTAAAGTTAAAAATTCAAATTGAAATGTTTTATGAAATGAAAGATGGAAAAAGCAGAAACAAGGTCTCAAAGAACAAAACAGCGAGGGTAGTTGACCATAATGATTGTAAGCAAATACATGAATGTTCAGAAATGGTTGAATTGTGAAACTTTTAGCATTGAATGACACACCTACGGAGAGGTACTTGTAGGAGAAAATCTTCGATTAAACAAGATAAAAAACTTTAACTTGAATGTCCCGACATGTCTGTATTTCATGACCTGTGCTTTCTATATAGAAATGTGTGTTGAATCATATTCTCGGAGGCAGGCTCTCTTTGATGTCAAATTTGAAAATTAATACAAATAAACAAAATATTATTTGTATATCCTTGTTTATCTCTTAGCAAGCTGTTGACTGCCTGCAGATTAAATCTTTTCAGCCTTACTGACTCAGCAAATCAAGATGGTGGAAACTGTCTGAGTGATAATTTTATACAATATACATTGAAAAATAAATAACGTTTCCTAAAATTATTTTATTAATTTTATCATTATTTATATTTTTTTAATAATTATTTTAATTAATTATTTTATTAGTTTGATCTTATCCTTGTTTCTGTTTATTTGTATGCAGTATTTTTTATAAGTTAGATTAAAGGAATTGCTGTGATATTCTCAGTACTTATTTTCTTCTTTTTCTTTTTAAATAAAAGGTTATTCAGATATCATGAGATGCGGTCGGGTGTGATGTAGGTTTCAGAAAAACATTTTCTTTATCGTGCCGTTTTGATTAACGGTCACTAATCTCTACACGTTAAATAAAAGTTAAAGTAATAAAAAGTTAGCATGAAAGCTATTGGTTTTATATATTTCTGTAAAAATATTTTTATTAAATTGACAAATATCTTATGTTTCAGGAGGATGACATGTTTGAAGCCACCGAAAACTGGCATAAATGCTCTTACAATTACAGATGCTTACAAAAGCTACGGAAAAAATATCCCAGTCCTGAAAGGCTTGAAAATGACTGTTCCTAGAGGATCTATGTAAATGATAAATAATTGGATAATTGTTTTATTTAATTAATTTAACCGTAGATTTACTAAAGTATAATTATAGATATGGACTTCTTGGGCCAAGTGGATGTGGAAAGTCGACTCTTCTAAATTCCATTGTCGGCCTTGTACAACTTGACCATGGTAAAATTGAAACTGCTGTCTCATCGAAAAATGAGTTAGGTTTTATGCCACAAGTAAGAATTTTAGCTATAACCGTTTCAATCTTTGATGAGAAAAAAAATGAGAATCTGAGCTTGAAAACAAGGGAAAATGCAGAAACCAATTATATTAATTTAATACCATAATTTTAGCAAATTTCCCTTTATAAACAAATGACGATAGAGGAAATACTGAGATATTATGCGCTCATTTATGATGTTAAAGTTCAAAAGGCGAATCTAAGATTAAATATCTTGTGTAATTTATTAGATCTGCCACCAAAATCTACACTTATCGAACATTTGAGGTAAATTAAACAACAAAAACAATATTTTGTTTATATTCGACTTTATTGAAAAATTACAGCGGAGGACAGAACAGGAGACTTTCATTGGCAGTTGCTCTCATCCACGATCCAGATCTACTTCTGTTGGATGAACCTACAGTCGGAGTCGATCCTATTTTAAGAACAAGGTTTTCTAACAGTATAAATGAAATATAATAATTTTGTAATTAAAAAAAAACAACTTAATTTTTCAAATGATAAGTGATTCATTTTTTCAACAGTATTTGGGATTATCTCAACCGACTATGCAAAATTGGTAAAAAGACTATTGTCATAACTACACATTACATCGAAGAAATGCGAGCTGCACATCATGTAAATGTCTCTCTAAACAGAATTAAAAAAAAAAAAAATATGGAAATAGTATAAAATTTTGTATGATTTGTTTCAGGTAGGTCTGATGAGAAATGGCGTCCTGTTGTGTGAGGACACTCCTTCGGATCTGATTAAAAGTACAAAAAGTCAAACTTTAGAGGAATCATTTTTAAAATTAATACAAAAACAGCTTGAGTTTGAAACTGTAAGTTAGAATTGTCTATTATTTTTTCTTAATAATAATAAAAATTCCAGTTTATTGCACAATTTATTATTTGCAATTTAAAAAAAAAATCATAAAATGGTGATAAAAGAAAAAAAGCATTAAAGCATTCTTAGTTCCATTAATAAAAGTATAAGTTTTCAGGATAAAAATATCAAAGAAATATCAAACATAAATCCAAATTTCAAATCAACTCTAACACAAATTGGTTTGGTTTCGAGCAGAATATCCTTGAACCGTATGCGGGCAGAAATTAAGAAAAATTTACTCTTTCTCTTTAGAAATCTACCGTAAGGATGAATCAAAGAGGGAAATAAATATGGTTGAATAGTTTAAGTTTGTAATTTTAGGGTGCTTTGCTATCTGATTCTGTTGCCACCATTGAGTATAACATTGTTCAATTTTGGGAACGGTATCGACCCTAAGGGCTTGAAGATTGGATTTGTAAACTACGACACAAATGGTGGTTCTTGTAGCTTGATCCAACGAAGAAACGGCTGTGGTCAGAACTTCCTCAGCTGTGCCTACCTCCAAAGAGTAAAGGAGAGATCAATAGAACTGGTATTTATTGAACGGTGAACTTTTTTAAATAACTTTTTTCGGTTATTGAATATTTTATATGTTTGGGCTTTCAGATAGAATATAAAACGGTACAGAAAGGCATTGATTCAGTGACGAAGGATGGTTTATGGGGTATTTTGGTATTTCGTCAGAACTATTCGACATCTTTATACGAAAGAATCGAAAACGGACCAAAAGCTAACATAATTGATTCTAGTACTGTCCATGTTCATTTGGACAAATCAAGTAAATACTAAAATTATTTTATTATACATTAAAACAACCATCTTTATTATTCTTCCGGAAAACACGGGTTAATACAGCCAGTTTGCAAAATAAAGTGATAAAAGCTGAAGAAACTTAAAACAGCAAAATACAAAATATCAAACTATTTCAGATTATATAATAAATGAAATTTTGGAAAGAGATTTGTACACTAGTTATGCAGAAATGATGGAAGATGTCTGTTTAGATTGTGGGTGGAGCAATAAATTCTTAAACATTCCAATCCAGGTAAAAATAAGATTATACTTGATTATGGTTTTATGCAATTTTGATATTAATTTTTCACAGTTCAAAGAGCCAATTTTCGGTAAAAATACACAAGATTATAGAAGCTTTATTGCACCTTCTCTTCTTTTACTGTAAGGATTTTTTAAAAAGAATATCAAGTGTTTTTTTAAATTATATTACAGCTTATTTAAATATTATTTTAGATTATTATTCGGCATGCCTTTCACGTACGGAGTGGTAGTAATTATAGCAGAAAAAAATGCAGGTTGTACCACAAGAAGTTTGGTTGCAGGTAAATCTATTATGGACATAAATTTGGATTGTTTTATAATAAAATTTTCCCTAGGAGTCAACATTTTGGAGATTTTTATTGGCCACATAACCATATTAGTTACCTTGCAGTTAATCCACACAGCGACTGCTATAATAACCATGTATTATGTACTCGGTTATGATTTTACCAGTCCATTGCTGTCAACATCTTTATTACTTCTGCAAGGTCTGAGCGGGATCTGTTTAAGTGAGTCAAATTGGACATTATCAGTGCCTTTGATAAGATGTTTAACAAATAATTTAATTTAAGCAACTCTACTTGGAATTGTTTGTACAACAATGTCAAACGCAGCTTGTATTTGCACCGGCTTAACAGTATGCTGTATTTTAGTGGGTGGTAAGTTTGATTCAGTCTGTCAAAATATTAGATATTTTTGTAATTAATAAATTAATTTTTCTTTATCAGGAATGCTATGGCCATATGAAGGTATAGATTCTTCAATAAGACCCATATCTTGGTTAGCACCGATAACTTTCTCAACGAGAGCTTTGAGAAGCCTTACAATAAGGGAAGGAGATATTTTCAAACAGGACGTCTATCTCGGATTCATTGCCTGTTTTTTCTGGTGCTTAGCTTTCTTAACCACATCTGTGATTGTTGTGAAAAAATTGAACACAAAGATATTTTTACAATTGTGACTTTGGTTCATGCCTTAGTGCAAATTGTACATTAAGTTTTTTGTAATATAATATTGTTTGTTTGTATATATTGTAAACACAATTGCTTTTGTACATAAATTAACACGTGTGGTCTCTTTTTTTCCTTCCTTCCCTCCATCATGGCAGAATTTTAAAAGTGAAGAGTTTATTATGGATAGTTTATTATTCTTCCATTTAGTTTTCACCCTTTCTTTCTAAGGATCTTATAAAGAATCTGTAACAAGTGAGTTACTTTAAGTTAAAAATAGTTGTAAGGAATTTCAAACATATGTTGCAGTTAAGGTCGTAAATATGACAGGTCGCCCACCCAGAAACATTTCCCACAAAACTGGAAGTCATAGAAACGTGACATATGAATAGTCTGTCCAATAAGTAATGAAAGTCGAGGAGTTGTCGAGGACACAGTTTATCCAGATGTGGGATAAATTTGTGCCCATGTCAGCTGGGTGCGTGTTGTACACTCTTCAGTGGATGACCCTAGCTAGAAGTAAGTTGACCATCTGGCCCAACAGTTTTTGTTTTTACTTTCCTCCCAGGTAGAGAAACCAATATAAAATGGGATGATTTGAAAAGCAAAGTCAGTCAAGTCAACCCGAAGACTCAGCCCGGAGCAATCATGCAGCCACCCAATCTGGGACTGAGCCAGCAAAGACCTAGCCATTGTGACAAGAATAAAGTTGACTGTCGATGACCCAGGAAACCGCAGGAAGAAGATCCTGGAAGACGCTGAAGGATGTGGAAGCTGGTGTTGGTGAGCATCGTTTGAAGTCCCCTTGTGAATAGGCTCAACCCCAGAGGTAGATTTGTGGCTGATTTGCCTTCATTGTTTGACACTTTGTTTATTAAAATTTCAATTAATTATATATTTTATCTAAGTTTCTCCTAATTTCATTAAGGTAACAGAAAACTTTGATCTAAATTCTGATCACTCAGCAGTTATACTGACGCTAAGTGAAAGGATAATAAAAAAACAATGCAAGCCAACATTAATTAATTTAACTACTGACTGGAGTAGTTTCGCCTTAGACATGGATGCAAAAACGTCCTTAATGTTCCTCTAAAAACAGAAGAACAATTAGATAATGAAGCAGAGGTGTTCACCTCAATCATTCAGACTTCAGCATAGTGTAATACTAGACAGACTATCTATAAAACTATAAAAGGCTTCAACTACCCCAAGGAAATTAAAGAACTAATAAATCAGAAAAGAAAGGCTAGAAGAAGATGGCAACAATCAACAGACCCTCCAGACAAAAACATTCTTAACAATATGGCTCAAAAACTTAAACGAAAGCTAAAAAAACTACAAGACGACTCAATCAGAAATTATCTAGAAGATCTAACTCTAGGCGAAGCCACTGACTACTCGCTGTGGAAGGCCGTAAAAAAAATGACCAATTGCCCAAATTCCTTCATTAAAAAAAGAGGATGGTACTTGGGCGAGAGACAGCAGAGAAAAAGCCGAATTGTTTGCTAGTTACCTTGCTGAAATCTTCAAACCAAATGAAATCATCAATAGCAGCTTACTTGAAGTAACAACCATGTCACAAGAAGAAAATATAAAGCTAGTTTCACCTAAAGAAGTAGCATGAGAAATTAAAAATTTACCTGCTAAAAAGACTCCAGGATATGACCTAATCACTGGAGAAATACTAAAACAATTGCCAAAAAAGGGTATAGTTAAACTAACATACCTATTTAATGCTGCAATCAGACTGAAATATGTTCCCAGCATCTGGAAATTCGCAGAAGTCATTAGGATAAAAAACCAGGAAAACCGGCGAACGAAGTCAAATCATATAGACCAATATCGCTACTACCAACAGTGTCTAAACTTTTCGAAAAGTTATTATTAAAACGAATAAGACACATTGTTGAAAAAAATAAAATCATTCCTGACCATCAATTTGGATTCCGAACAAGACATTCAACAATAGACCAAATTCACCGAGTAACGGATGTAATAGAAAAATCTTTCGAAGAAAAACAAATTTGTTCTGCTATCTTCCTTGATGTCTCACAAGCTTTTGACAAGGTCTGGCATGAAGGACTCATCAAGAAACTAGAAGGTATGCTACCAAAGCAGCATGTCTATTATCAGTACCTAACTGACAGATTGTTTAGAGTCAAACAAGAAGATCAATATTCAAAATTTAAAACAATAAATGCAGGAGTGCGACAAGGTAGCATATTAGGTCCACTGCTTTACTTGTTATACACCAGTGATTTTCTGAAAATAGATGGAGTAAAAATTGCGACGTTTGCAGATGACACAGCGGTGATATCACTAGGACCGACTATCACCCGTTCTACCAAAATCCTCCAAAATGCATGTAATATGATAAACGAATGGACAAATAATTGAAAATCAAGTTAAATCAGCATAAATCAGTTCATCTAATCTTTACAAACAAAAAGGTGGACCATGTCGCTCATAATCGATGGAACTACTATACCATACAGCAATACAGCTAAATATCTGGGAATGACCTTAGATGCCAAGCTGAGATGGAAAGAGCACGTGAAGAAAAAAAGGACAGAAATAGTTTTAAGGTATAGACAACTATATTGGTTGATAGGACGTGGCTCCAATCTTGCTATACAAAATAAAATATTATTATATAAACAAGTCATAAAGCCTATGTGGACATATGGTATTCAACTATGGGGTTGTACCAAACACAGCAATATCAAAATCATACAAACATTCCAAAATAAAATCGTACGTAACATGTTCAATGCACCTTGGTACATAAGGAATAAGGGTTTACATAGAGATCTTAAGATCCCTGAAGTCACGGCGGAAATACAAAGATTTTCCGCCAAACACCAGGCTTGCCTCAGCCAGCATGAGAATGTGGTCGCGATTAAACTCTTACATAACCGAAACACGGTCAGAAGATTAAAAAGAACAAAGTCATATGACCTTGTGTAGTTAAAAATGAATAGTGAAATGTAAATCTTATTATACCAATGGGTATAATAACTCCTAACATCCAAGAAGTCAAATAACATTCTCCATTGATTAATTAATTAATTACACAATTTTCAATGCATGAAATAAGAAAGAATATGTCACCTGTATTTTTAAAACCGTCAGATCGAAGCGTGATTTAATGTAAACATTTATTTATTCTATAATATTATTGTAAAATTAATGGTTGGTCTAATAAGACCAGTTTTAATAAATACATTTAATTAAAAAAAAGGTATATATTTCATCTAAAGTCTTGGTTGAAATGAAAAAGCTAGTGTCACGAGCGGGACTGGAACCCACGACCTTGACTTCGATCCACTCGGACACCAATTCCTCATCTCAACCTACAACCTTTCTGGTTATCCCTCTTTTTGCCATTTATCATTTCAACCAAGAGTTTAAATAAAAAGTGTAATTAATAGAACTAATTAAATTACTAATTAAAAGCTGTTTAGGAGGTCGTGTTCACTCCTAACATCCAAGAAGTCAAATAACATTCTCCATTGATTAATTAATTAATTACACAATTTTCAATGCATGAAATAAGAAAGAATATGTCGCCTGTATTTTTAAAACCGTCAGATCGAAGCGTGATTTAAAAAATATACTCGACAAATGATTTTGATATATGCTAAGGAAGTCGTGATGAATCGTGGTCACATTCAGTCGAAACGGAGAGAAAGTTCGCCACCTGAATGAGTTTTGGCGATGACCACAAACCGGCGAACGTGTGACGGTCTGAAAGTGCAGGCATTGTGAATATCATCTTTTGGTAAATCCACCGTGACCGTAAAAAAATGGTACAGCACAGCTTTCCAGCTTATAATTTTCTCAAATGGGGTGTCATGTATATTCTGCAAACAGCACGCCCTTTTAAATGAGGCAAGATCGGCGCATTTCTTCTGCCTTAAATCAATCTTAAATTGGCTAGATTAAATTTTTTAATATGAAAATTTGGTTTTTTTGGAGTAAACTGATGGTGGGGGCTTTCATCCCTTCCACGGCGAGATTCGATCGGATTGCACAATGTAGTATGTACCGCATATTGCTGGTAGCTCTAGTCGGCTCATAAAGCCCTGTTCGGTAAACATCTCGCGTCCCGAAGAAAAAGGAAACGCTCACAGACGCAAGGTGAGGAAAAAATTTCTCCCGTGTATTTTCATTTTGAATAAATAATTTCTGTAATCTATTATGTAAGAAAAAGTCGACAATGGTTTGATTACCGTTGACCATCGCTTTCTGGGTTCACGTAATGCGATCGACCATCATAAATCATGCTTCCGTATTTTCCCCACGTTCATGATTTTATTTTAAGTTCGTGCTTTTCTCGTTCCAACCACACCAAATAATCCGTTTTATCCATTAGTCTAGGTATGCTGGAGTACTGGGTGCAATTGGAATAACGTTATTTTTTGGAGAAAGTCAACTGCTGCCTGGTGTTACAAGGAGGCATGCGAAAGTTAAGCGAGGGAAGGAGATAGGACAGTCAATATGATTATGTATCAGTTTGTAGACAAAGAAAAATTCTATGCATAGTGTTTAGTGACTGTTAGTTAATGACTATTTGGAGATCGTGAGATGCTGGTGTGACGTAGGTTTAGAAAAACCTCCTGAAGATGATCTCAATAAAGTTCGAAACGTGTCAAGATAAAGAAAATATTTTTCTAAACCTTCGTCATACCAGGCCGGATCTCCAAATAGTCATAAGAAGAATCTTCTCTTGAATCTCATGGAGAAGATTATAAGGAATAATCCAGTCTTCCTGAATCTGTGGCGCAAGAAGCGACAGCTCCAATGAATCAGTTTGTTGTGTCGTGTATGACATATCCATTATTGGTCGCACAACAGTACACTAATTACGAAAATTAAACTAATTAAGCTAAATAAAATTAAGTTTTAATTACGGTAGTCGATTAATAAACCTAAGGGTTTAATTTTTAAAGTTTAAGTTATAATACCTGTACCTCAACAAACGAGCTACGTGGAATCCCCACGACGGATAGGGATAGGGATAAAAAAGCCACAAAGCCTTCTGCACCTTGACCTGAGT